ATCTTCTTCTCAAGAACCACTGGACCAGAAAAGCTGAAACTTATGTGGAAGCATCCTGGGGAAGTTTAGATTCTAAATTGTAAAAATCATGACCCCCAGGGATAGGGCGGGACCACAATGGGGAATCAAACTTTTACATAGAAATATATAGGAAAAATCTTTTAAGATGTTCTTCTCAAGAACCACTGGGCCAGAAAAGCTGTAACTTATGTGGAAGCATCCTGGGGTAGTGTAGATTCCAAATTATGAAAGTCATGACCCCCGGGGATTGGGCAGGGCCATAATGAGGGATCAAAGTTTTACATAGAAATATATAGGAAAAAACTTTGAAAATCTTCTTCTTCAGAACCACTGAGCCAGAAAAGCTGAAACTTATGTGGAAGCATCCCGGGGTAGTGTAGATTCTAAATTGTTCAAATCATGATCCCCGAGGTTGGGCGGGGCCACAATGGGGAATCAAAGTTTTACATAGAAATATATAGGAAAAATCTTCTTCGCAAGAACCACTGGGCCAGAAAAGCGGAAACTTATGTGGAAGCATCCTGGGATAGTGTAGATTCTAAATTGTTCTAATCATGTCATCCCCGGGGGTAGCGTGGGGCCACAATGGGGAATCAAAGTTTTACTATATTGAATCAAAGCATCCTATGGTACTGTAGATTTCAAATTGTTTAAATTATGATCAGTTGGGTAGGGGGGGGGGGCGGTCACAATATATATAACAAGGGGGAAATCTGGTAAAGAACGGAATGTTCAAAGCTTCTCAGGTGAGCGATGTGGCCCATGGGCCTCTTGTTCAGTTTATCTCATTTTCATCCTACATATCTGTACAGTCATTGTCTCATAGGGTAGAAGTTTATGTTAAAAGTCTCTCTTCTCTAAATCCCATGTATCTGTACAGTCATAGAGTAGAGATTTCCCCACATATTTGTACAGTCATAGTCTCATAGAGTAGAGATTTCTACTTTTAGTCTGTCTTCTATTAATCCTGCATATCTGTACATTCATCATGGTCATAATTTAGATACTTCTTCTTTAACATGTTTAAGTGCCCAAAGAAAATATTTTTACTTCAGACACATGCAGACAGGATTACATTTTGTTGTTTAGGGCATGGTTTGCAAAATATCACATTAATTTATTTCTTTAGGACAGAAGTTTTGCCATTTTATCAGCTGTTTTATACTTGAATGTTGAGGTTTACAACTGTCATTTAGTAACCATCTGTTGTATATAGTAATATAAATGTATATGTTTACAGCTGTCATTTGGTACATGGTAAAATATACTTGACGTTTACAGCTGTTATTTAGTAACATGGTAACATAAATATAAACGTTTACAGCTGTCATTTAGTAACAGTATGGTAATATAAATGTTGAAGTTTGTAGCTGTGGTACATGTATACAGTAATATAAATGTTGACGTTTACAGCTGCCATTTGGTAACGGTCCCCCCGGGCCCTATGCTCTCTGAGGCTCTGATGAACTCCCCGGTACTGGTGGGTGAGGATGGGTCTGGAGCCGGACTCTCAGCGGTCGGATTCGAATTCGGAGTGGATCCAAATGAAGATCCAGAATTAGCACTGGTGAGGACTTGTACAAAATCATACAAAATTCTTAATTTTAGATGGGTGGGAAATCGTTTCTTGTCATTTTTTTTGAAAGATTGCATTGAATAAAATGTGGAGAGGTAAATACCACATAACAGTAAATACAAGACTTAGTGTAAAAATAAAAAAAAAAAAGAAAATCGGATAAAAAAAGTTTAAACTTACTTGGGTTAATTGTATTTTTTCTGCAACTTTGCAATTATTAACCTTTTATAATAAAATGGAAGAATTATTATTTATAACTAATTAAAAAGTTAAGTCTCATACTAATTTTTAGTCATTACATGTATCCATGTGAATGTTATGTAGGCATTACGTGTCTCCATGGAGGAGCAGAGAGCCAGACAGGAGGACGAAGCTAAGAAGGCTAATCCGGCTGCTCCAACTGAATCCGCATCTCAGCCGACAGAAGCAGGAGGTAGACACTCACTTTATCCATTTTCATGTTGTACATTTTAGTATAATTAGGGGAAAACTGTTTTATCATTTGATATTTGCAACCTTTAATGAGTTGTACCAGTGACGTGTAAGTAGAGCTGGTGAAATGGATGTTGTGACTGTTAAATTAGCATTAATTGTAGCAAATTACAAATATAAAGACAGTTTTTCTCATTCGAATGAAATACATACATTTTGTTCAATGTTCATATATCATTTTTGTTTAGTTTTGTTATAAGAAATACGTCATAAAGGGTTGTGGTTTTGCGTTGTTCTAATATGATGTCAGAATCAAAAGTTTACCCTCTCATTAATGCTCATTTTAACTGCCTCAAACTGAGTGCATTAGCCAGTCAAAATGAATTTTACAAACCAGTAATATTAGAATCTCATTCTATTATAACGTCACAATCAAAAGTTTTCCCTGTCATTAATGCTCATTTAACTGTCTTAAACTGCATTGCATTAGCAAATCAAAATGGATTTTATGAAAACAGTCACATTTGAATCTCATTCTGTAAGGCATGAACTCCTAAACTCGGCCTTTCTCTGTTAGCTGCATACAAGCCAACAATTTAATGTAAAGTCATTTTGTTGATTATAAAGGGAACAATGAAGAAGCCATGTTGGAGCAGGCTTTAGCGATGTCAGTACAGCAGGAGACTGGAGATCAGCCTACACCCAGTGTGCCAGACTTTGGTTCAATGACGGAGGAGGAACAGATAGCGTATGCCATGCAGATGTCACTGTCAAACTCCGGTAAAATTTAATGGATTCTAACTTCAACAAAATGAGCAAAACTTTCAAACTCTGGTAAAATTAATTGGCTTCTAACGTACACGGAATGAACAAAACTTTTAAACTCCAATAAAATTTAATGGCGTCTAACTTACATGAAATGAACAAAACTTTCGAACTCTGGTATAATTTAATGGCTTCTAACTTACACGAAATGAGTAAAACTTATCTAATTAATGTGATGAATTACAATTTTTTAAAATTTTATCCAGTGATGAACATTTCCATTGTTATTGATACTGAAACTGTTTCCAGAAACCAACATTTCAGAATAACTTTTACACAATGAAAGGGGGGCTGGTTTTAAAATTGATAATATAAACCAGAAAATGCTTTTAATTTTTCAGATAACGGGGGGGGGGGGTAAATATCAAATAATTTTTATTACTTTTGATTATTTTAGCTGCCCAGACAACTGAAAATACCCCAGCCCCTATGGATGTCGATAGCGAAGAAAAATCAGCTGATGATAAAAAAGCGGTATGTTAACATGGATAATATATTATTATTAATGCTATAAAAAGCGATAAAATTTTGATGATTTTTATGATTCGTAAATATTACATATTGCCACCAATTACTACTTATCAGTTTTTTGGACACGCATAGCATGAAGGCATGCCAAGTGTTTGTGGCTGCATCAGCCATGTTATAGCAGCTCTCTTATTTGAATCATGGCTGATTGGCCTTTTGACCTTTACCAATATTTTAATTTTTTTCCCATTATTTAATCTCATCTGTTGTTTTCTGTTTGACCACAACAGGCGGACGAGGACTACTCGGATGTGATGAATGACCCCGCCTTCCTCCAACAGGTGTTAGAAAACCTCCCTGGGGTAGACCCCCACGACGAAGCCATACAGAGCGCTGTTAGTTCTATGACCAAAGATGGAAGTAAAAAAGACGATCAAAATAAGAAAGATTCAAAATAGGCATCTGTGTAGAATTTACAACCTTCTCTGTATTGTCATTTTTTTGTGAGGCTAAAGAGCAGTCATTTGTTCATTAAACTTGTATATTTGACATTTAATAACTTTTCATTAAAATATTGAAAGTAAGAAGATGAAAATTGTCTTAATGTATATATTTATTTATTTAAACTATGCCTACGAGGCTGCAATCTGATTTTAAAAAATCAAATTATTGTTACGCGCTCCGAAATTCTGCTGTACAAAGCAATCATCAGAATTTCAGAGCGTAGCAAAGATCTGACTTTAAGGTTCATTGATAATCTGATAAGAGAGATAACTCTTATAGACATAAATGTTCATTATTCCGTTTCAAGTTGAAATGTCTTTTCTGTCCAATTTTGTCCTGCGAGCTATGCTATAATTGTTTTTATCCCATGTTTAACCCTTTATCCCGTTGATATAGTGTGATATCGTTTTCGTATGACACAGTTGTGACGTCACAATGGATTTTGCGTTAGAGTGATGAAGTAAAATGAAGTGGAGTCCTTTATAAAAACAGTGTCAAACATTGTGGTGTAAAAAACATGGGATAAAAAGATTCTCACATGATTTGTAGTTAGATATGATTTTTATCCAACTCGTTGTGTGTTTTTATCCCCTAGCCAAGGCTTGGGGATAAAATCCACACAACTTGTTGGATGAAAATCATATCCAACTACAAATCATGTGAGATCCTATATGTATTTTACATGTACTTATAAAATACATTTCTTTTTCAAAATCACTAAGGTCCAAGGAACATTTTATATGAGTTAAAAGAGAGTTTATGATACTCATAAATGAGGTTGCTTAGTCTGTATAAATACTAGTATAGTTAACTTAATTTTCATGACAAATTATTTTCACAAGATATACATTTACTAGCAAGACCAAGTTTTCACAAATTGAAGCAAATTGTGGTCACAGCTCTAATATAGTTTTTAGGAAAACATATACAGGAGAATGATATTTTCCTGAGCACATTGTGTCATGTAATAGCACTAAAAAGTTCTCTCATAGAAAAAGTGATTTACAGTCGGTGCTCCATCAGTGTACTTCAGAAGATGCGTGCCCTTCTAAAATTTGAGACAATGAACAGGATGCTGAATTAGTATCAATCACAAATACATCTACTATTCTAGAATTGTCAAAACATTTTAATATGATTTATATGACAATGAAAATATGAGAATTCAATTGTAAAACATTTTTACTGCTAAATTTAATAAGGCAACACAGTCCTGTCATAAGTGAAGAATTTTCCAGAGTCCTCCACAGTTAATGAATCTATAACTTTTAACAAACAGTTAACTGAGTATTCAGTGGTGAATAAATTGGGTACGTTTTTGTGATAGGGTCTGGACAAGTCGGTATCGACGGTGCCCGGATGAAGCGATACACAGATGATTCTCTTCCGTCCTCGTCCAAATTCTATACCAAGGTTTCTGGTGGCCATATTAAGGGCTGCTTTAGACATTCTGTAGCTGTACCAACCTCCAAGACCTGAGGAAATAAAGAATTGTATCAATTTATACAACATGGATTCATAGGCGTAGTCAAGGGGGGGGGGGGGGCACTAGCCCCCCCACTTTCAGATGGGGGGGGGGGAGAGTATGTCTGTGCCCCCCCCTTCCACTTTATGTAGAACAAAATCATAGCTATGTTGATTAAAAAACTTAAACCTCATTTTATGGCAAATGTATTTTATTTTCAACAACAACAGAGTAAGCATTTCTCTTCAAGTAATAGTTGTATAATATAGTAATGTAATATAGTAATTAAATCTGTCAAGACCTCTTGCGTTCCCAAGTTTGGGATAGGGAGTGCGGGTCATTAATTTAAGTTTAGACGTTTTCTGTTTCACTCAGCATCTGTTATCTAAAAAAATTAAATGAGAATCACAAACTGCCCCGTGTGTTGACATCTGAAAGTCATTATCTATTTGCTGAATCGCATTTCTTGTTTAACACATAGTCACAAAGTGCGTATTGTCAAACCTCCGAAATTTTAATTATTTAATTAAATAACCAGGGGGGGGGGGGGGGCTAGGTGGGGCTTATCCCCCACTTTTACCCCCAGATATATACTTAATATAGACATTGAACATTGCTTCGTAGGTATAGCCCCCCTTCTTCCTCCACAGTCACGTCGCAAAAAAAAAAAATTGGTACTGAAGTACAACCCAACCCAACCCCTCTTGTTTAAAAGTGGACATTATTTTATTTTATTTTTTTTTTCCTTGTCAAAGAATTTCTGGAGTTGAGCCCCCCCTTTTAAGTTTGTGACTACGCCTCTGATATTGTAGTTTAGTTTTATATACATCAACATATGAAGCCAGAAATAAAAGCCTGAAGTAGGCTCAGTGCTGAAGGATTGAACACAGAAGTTTTCATATAATATGATGCAAGTTATATTTTAAAGTCATTCTTAAGTAGCTAGTCTTTCGGGATTTTCGTGCATGGTACATGTAACATTCATGACCGAGTTTATTATGCTCTCATAAATGTATAGATCTGGTAAATGGAATTGTTAAAATAAATTCTCTCTATATATAGGAAAAGTATCAATATTAAAATACATGTATATATGTTATTTCTATATTTCAATCCACAAAGACACATGAAAGTATTTTATAGATGCATGCGTAGAATAATCGGAATAATGTATTTTTCGAAGAAGCTCTGAATTATATTACCATTGTCTGTGATGGAGCCGACTTTAGCCGACATATTGGCGATGACACCACAGTGGGCGGCCTGGGGGTCAGAGGACAAGACACCAAACTGACCACTGCCATTCAGCAGTAGTGGACTGAACATCTTCGCCATCATCAGTGGACCAACTGCATTCGTGTGCAGCGTGCGAATCAAATCCTGAAAAAGGTTTTAGGGCTGTTTAAGTACAGTACAAAGAGGGTTCATTGACAATTTCTTCATAATCAAGGAATTTGATATTCCACTTACATATCAGCAATATATACTCTTTCAAAATAGACAGAGCAAAGAAAAAAAAAGAGGAGAAAAAAAGTTTAAGGCTATCCAATCCTTATTCAGGAAGGCTAACTCTGAAAATTATTATTTAATTGATTTAAAAAGTCTCAACATGAAGCTTGAAATTGAAAAGGAGATGATGGACATCGCGATCGAAAAGCCTATAACGCGACTTTGAAGATGAAAAATTATTTCAATTATATCAAAATTTTCCTTAATAGAGTATACTTAATGTAAAATTTCTACGACTTGAAAAATGTTCACGAAAATTGAAGTTATTTGCCTAGTGTGACATATTATACACACACAAAAAGGGCGCAATAGTCTTTTTTCACACTGTAACACTATTTTTCGATAAGACCAAGGTCTTCGTTCCATTCTTTAAAAGTAAAGTTTGAAAAAAAAATACTCTTTTTTGGATTACAAAAATTATAGAGCAAAGGTCCACTATACCTTAAAAATACAATTAAATGTCATAATTTTCAAGAAACACTTGAGGATCGTATCAAAATCATGATTTAAATCGTAGTCAAGTGGTTAGCGTGCTAGTCTTGAAAGAAATGTTACTAGGGATTTTTGTTGCTAGTGTTCGAACCCAATGAATACCATTTTTTTTATATGAAAGAGTAAATTTTACCGAAACCATTGTCTTTAGAAAAGTTTTTTACTTATCATAATTTCATAAATATCAATATAATGAGAACTTTCCTCTAAATAATAAATTCACAATTTGATATGACTTTTAATATCTGATGCTAAAGGCTTTCAACAAGTTAACTTAACCCATCTCCTTTTATGCAACAATTTTCATTTTATGCATCCCAATTAATTAATGACCCCGATTCATAATTTATATGATTCAAGATTCTTTGAAAAAGGAGAGGATTACACTACTGAGTATATTATGTTAATTGCAGGTAGATATCAATCTGTATAAGCAATATAAAACAAGAAATTAAATGGTTACTAATCATGCTAATACCTCTCCATCAACACTCTTAAGACTTGTCTCCCCTTTTCCACTCGGATGCAACATCCCTGCACAGTTGATAAGCAAATCTAATTTACCAAACTTTTCTGTTACATATTTAGAAACGTCCGCAATATCATTTTCCTTCGTGACATCTAACTTGCAAACATGGAGGCGATCATTGTTGCCCTTCAGTTGCGCTAGCTCGCTTGATGAGTTTGTGTCTCGACATGTTGCTACCACTGTTGTTGCAGAGTTGCGGAGCAATAAGGTTTTGCAGAACTGAAGCCCGATTCCGCGGCTTGCGCCCTGTACAAGTGCTATGGCACCGACCACTGACATTCTATTGAGTACACCTGTACCTACAAAAACAACCTTTTAATCCTATAAAAGCGAAAAAGATACGTATACATGTAAGCATCTTTGCTAGCCAGAGGTTTCCGATCCGAAAATCTACTCTATTTCGGATCGGAAACCCTTGGCTAGCGAAGATGACATGTAAGAGACCTAAAGAAAAAAATGAAAGGGATAATAAAGCTATGATCTTCATATGTCTCTAGATGATTAATGACTAAACCATCAAATCAATAAAATGATACAAGACTTAGAATATAATCAGGCAGACAGGAGGATTTTATTTTAGCTGTGTGTGGTTGAATGGAGGGGGTTTAAAAGCAATTTCATTTTCAAATTTTTGTGAGAGTGTGTTTGTGTGTGTTTAAATGGTGGGTGTTGGGGTGGTGGGTTTAAAGCCTAATAAGTAATTCTTGAAAAGGAAAGACGATAAGGTGATTTTTTTATCCCCGCTGAAAGTGGGGGATATTACTTTATTTCGGTCTGTCTAATTGTCCATCTGTCCGCCTGTAGTTTTAAAATTTCTCCTCCGCACTACTTTGGGTGTCCGATAAATTTACCCTTAATTTGTAGTATAATAATTGCTTCCCATGCAATAGCAAAAGAAACTCAAAATTTGTATTTTCGAACTTTTCTATATATTTTGTTTTATTCTATTGATTGATTGATTTACACGTAATTTATTTAAACGTGATACATGTATATGAAACACCCCCTTCACCCCCCCCCCCCCCCCACACACACACACACGCATACATACAAATTTGAAAAAGTTAATATAGGCAAAACTACCCCATAGTTGGTCTACTTTTGTAAAGAGAATAATATAATTAACCGCCTTCCAAAATTTCGGAAATATTCTTGAAATCCCATATATAACTTTTAGAATTTTGCAATAAGTCTTATAAGAATTAAAACCCCTTAAATTCCAAGGACAAAATAAATCCCACTATTTCCAGGTAGTGTTTTTGATTTGAGGCCAGGACTAACAAATTTCAAAATAAAAAATCAACGGAGGGGGGGGGGGGCCGTCCGGCGCGCCGGCCCTGGGTCCGCCTTTGACTCCAATAATCCTGGATCCACCATCAAAATCACAGTTAAGGAAAAGACAACTCTCATCAACGAATGAAAAAATACACTGTGAAATACTGTCTATGTTTTGATAGACTTAACAACATTTTGTAAACTTACCTTAAACTTTTTTCTGCTAAACTTTTGCACACAAAATGTCTAAAGAGACGTTAGAAGGCATAAACCCACAGATTTATGTAATTTACTCAATTAATCTCTAAATACAAAACCAATTCTGTACATAATGTTTTTTTCCGTGATGTTAATTATGAAATATTCTACGTATAAAGGCATCATTTTTTCATCTCAAGTCCGTCTGAAACACAACTGTTAAGTAAATGGCAAAACATTTTAACACCTCAAAAGGGCCACGAGGGCCTGACTTTTACGGAAATAAGCAGTGCGCCATCATATTCTAATTTTACCTGATAATTTTCAACCAATCAGCAAGCCTGTAACAAACAGCGCCGCCATTTTCGATTTCAAAGGATCAAAAATGAAAACATTATGCGTGTTTACTTTCTAGATTTTTAGAAATCTTTTTAAATGATTTGTAAGAAGTACAAATGTGAATTTGGCATGTTAAAGACATTTTCATTATCATGCATTTAAGTGCGCTTTAAAAAGATTGGAGGCCGAAGGAGTGACATGCTTCGAAAGAAAAGTTGACAGAACAGTCGAAGCTAGGCCTAGTGCAGTTTTGAAAGTTTTACATTTTTGGATCTTGTTCCTTGTAAGTTTGAAGGTTATCAAAAGAGATAAATAATGCATTAATACAGTTTTATGTAATTTCTTGGTGTTGTGACATACGAATTCGAAACTGCCCATTAGGCCAGGTAAAATTAATCTTTAGATTCTCATCCTAATTTGCTAAAAAATTGGGGCGAGTGGGCGGGTTTTATTTTTTATTTTTTATAATTGGTAAATTGTAAGTATCAACAAAACATGGACTCTTCGTACACATTTTTTCATTATGTTAATGCCAATATAAACAGATTTTATTTTTTCGTATTCTTTTAAATATTTAAAGAAAATTCTTGCTTAAATAATTAGATATTTATTGTTAATTAACAAATTATCAAGTACACAAAAACGGCACACGCAACACAAAATGAGGTGGGGTTCTGATACCAATAAATTTTGTATGCATGACTTCTCATCGGCCTTTTCCTATATACCCTTTAGTTTTACCTACAAATCCCTCTGATTTCTGTAAAATATTATAGATTTCCACCTTCCTCAAAAATTGGATTGTTCCTGAGACTTGACATGTTCGACAATAAAATAGGTCATATTTACAAAATCTATAAAATATTCTAATAAAATATCCTACCGAAAAAACCTAGGCCTGAACAGTTTTAAGATTTAACATTTTCTTAGCACTAAACATTCTCTAAAGTCTGCCTCTATTGCCTCTGACTTCTATTGCCTAAAATCTTTCACTTTTCAAACCTATTTCACACATATTCACGTTTACCAGAGGAGTCAGCATTTTCCAAGGGGGGTCCAAGGTAACTTCTTTTCTTGCTTTTGTATATACATTTCTTAACCTTGTAAATTCCAGGGGGGGGGGATCCTGACCCCCCCTCCGACCCCCCTCTAGATCCGCGCATGCTTTTCCTTACATATTTAAACTGCTTTTTTGCCGATTTTTCTCCATTCTTCACATGGCTCCTTTGCTATAAATAGCGACACGCGACTTTTAATACAGACGGGAGATAACTCTTAAACTTCACCCAAATTCTTACTGAATAAAAATAGTTGAAAATGCCTTTATTTACACCCAAAAATCAAAATAAAAAATGCCGGGGCGGGACACTTTGAGAGGGGCGGGCGGGGATGAGAATCTAAAGATTAATTTTATCTGGCCTTATGGCATATCTTCAAACATTTTCCTCAGACATTGATAGCCAAAATTAAAAAAAAAAGTTTTAGACTAATATGTTGACGGTGCGACCGCTAGAGGGAGCGCAAACTCTTCTATTGTTTTTTAAAATTTAGATCGAGCTTGTCAAACCGCACGTGACAGTTGGTGCATCTAGACTCTGGCGTCACATGACGTCGTCAATCTCCCATGCAGAGTTGTCGTTCGTTCCTCTCTCAGACACCTCTGCAATGGGCTCACGTCAAGATTTTTGACATAACAAATAAAACGTGATATTTGCAGGATTGTTTCAACATAAATTAATAGTTCTGGATTGATTTAGTAAACTAAGACATAAGCATAGAAATTGAACTATAATGAATTAAAACAAACGCACTATTTCTCGTGTTTATCACTGTGATATACGCGAGCCAATGACAGAGGTGAATGTATGAGCCGATGGTAGAGAGTGATGACGTCGTATGTAAGTTACAAATACCAAGAAAAAACTGAACAGTGCTGAAAGTTAATGAAAAAAATTACGTTTACTATTTATCTTCAATATGTATCCATTTAATCAATGCGAGTAAACTTTTTGTTGAACATTTGTCGTCATTCTCGCAAGAACGCAGCTTTGCTAAGTGATGCATTGTGGGTCAAAATTACTGCAGCAAAAAATTTTAAAGAATGAATGTGCAGTAGTCTGAATTTTCTCTTCGCCCAGGCGTTGTCGTTAGATCTCGCAGTTACGAGCGTTGCTTTGCGACGCTCGCTGCGCTCGCTATAAAATTATATCCCATTTTGGCGAGTGGTCCCAACCTGCCCATTTTTTTCACTTTTTTATTTAAATTTTAATGTGTCAGCTCCTTATTCTGTTACTCTAGAGCAGATGCTCTAACCACTGCTCCCTGTAGGCAACTATTTTCAGTGTTATAAAATTTGAAATGCCAAGATCATTTGAACTCATGCATGCTTTATCAATACGTTTTATTTCCATTATGGAACTGACTGGGACCGCATGGCGGACAAAACATACAAATCTCAATCCAATTTTAAAAGTTATACATATTTGTCATTCCGATTAAAGAAAATATAAACTAATAGACATATATATACATGTAAGAGAGCAAGCAGTCTAATTAAAAATAAATGTTACATACGCTCGCATTCTCGCTACACTACAATGTAACATCTAACAACATCCCATAGAGGGTCACGTCAGATGTCAAATTCTAAACAACTCTAGACTTATTCCCTTCAACAAATATACGATGATTTTGCAGCGACGATTTGATTGAATGATAGAATTGAACCTCTGACGTGACCCTCTTTGGGATGTTGTTAGATGTTAGTGTAGCGAGTATGCCAGCAGACCTAACATCTGTTTTAATTAGATTGGAGAGCGAGAACCCTATTTACCCTGGTAATGCATCACCCGTTGATAAAAATACGACATGTGCATTGTATGATAGATACATACGATAAACAATAAATAAAAATTAATATTATCGTTTCTACTCTTGAAGCATATAAAGTCCAGAACAATCAAATGATTAATTTGACTTTTGTTAGGATTATTTCCGATTTGTTCACCAACATCCACCATATTAGAGAGGTTTAGCAAACCAAACGTGTACGCGTACGTGTAGCACCAGAAATCTGTGCATTACGTCATCACTTTTGCTAATGACAAATTTCTACACGTATCTTCTTACGCAAATTACGTGAACATAGCCAAGTACACGTAAGTTAAAACTTGTAGCTTATAATTCTTTAACTGCTGTTTATTTTTCAAAAAGTGTGCGTTTTTCTGAAACCTGAATATATAATGCAAATACTGATATAAGAACTGAACGTCAGTAATTGAAAAATATTAATTTATAGGGAGTTAAAATTACAACATCTTGATTTTCGAAAAAGACTTCGACCGATTAAAAATACAAGAACTCTGTACAATCTTTATCTCATAATTACAGGCATTTATTTATGTAGAATGGTGTTATACGTATTAAAATTTTTGCTTTTGCGGATGATTTTTAAATGTAAACCACTTTTACATTTAAAAACTTACAAGTACAAGTACAGGTTATACTTTGCTAAACAAGAAAAAAATTTTAACGTGTACGTGTAATTCTAACTTGTAGTTCAGAGTTTCCGAAAACCAAATATTTCTATCAGTCATTAGGACTGATGACTTAATGCGTTCTACTGGTCCGAAGTATATTCTATCAGTCCGAATAAATTTTAAAATATATACAGTGTATATTTCAAATGGCATTAAATATGTATAAATTTTCATCAGGGCTCACCAATTTAACACTGATTGTGATAACAGTGTTATGCAACTATACTTAATTCAAGCATGGCAAAAGACCACACAGGCTTGTGGCAGCAATAAAGTCACTATCCCCAAGTAGAAACAAGAAATTATGAAAAAAAAAAAATTAAAAAGAAAATGTCTCATGGTTACTAGAATTCTTTTTAAAATTAAAATTAAATACTCACTTGTAAAATTGAATCATATATAAATAGCAGTTATAATAGAAATTCAAGATAAAAATAAATTTAAATTATCTTTACGTTTTCTCAGTGAAAACATTGCACTGCATGACCTATATACTGCATGTGTTTACCATTAACAGAGGAATAGAGAAAATTCGGAATAGGAAAAAACGATCGTTTTTGGAAGTAAATAAGTCAAGTAGAATTGCAAAATGGATAAGATTATGGATATTTACGAAGAAGAGTTCATGCTGCATTGATAATTTTCATTTATGAAGACTTAGCAGTAGATCAGAGTGCAATAAATTAATCAGGACAAGCCCTCACCACAATCGGTCACACGGACCGGTACTATAGCCAATTTCATCGGACATTTCGATTTTCTATCGGTTTTGCCGGTAGGACCGATAGTTTTCGGAAACTCTGGTAGTTTACACGTACATGTACACGTACAAGTGAGCTTGCTAAACCTCTCTATTATTTATAAGTTTATGTTACGTTTGTCCCAGAAATCCTGCTAGATTTGTACATTTTGCAACTTTTTTACAAAAGAGTGCACTAAGAGCTTTAAGAAACTCTTCCTTAGTGAAAAAAGGATGCATTATCATGGTCATAGTTAAATATAGTTCAGGTGCAGATGCTATCTTAACAGTTGCTTAGCACATACTTAAAGAGTATACAGTTTATTTTGTAGAAAATGCCTCACATTCTGAATCTCTGTAAGTACTGAGATTTAATAATAAAAATAAAGACTGAGGGAAGACAAATCGAGAATGAGTAAATTGTACCCTGGACCTTGTTCAAGACCAAAACTTTGTTCATTTTTTTTTCCCCATAAATTTCAGGCAAAATGAGTCGAGCGACGAGAAACACTATAAAAACTTATGGTAGACACAGACAAAGGATCATAGCGGCAGACATTTGGAGTTCTGACGACGAGAAAAAGGCAGATCTCGGTGCTGGTGTTTTTAGCAGTAGCAGCTCTCATGGTTCCAGTCTGGATTTCTCCAACCAGGACACTACAAACGACAGTTTGTTTAGTGGACCAATCAGAAGAAGGTTAGCAGATGATTATGTGCTTTAATTAATTACTACAGACCTGGGGGAGGGGCCATAAATCTTAAACAAACCCACTTTTGACCCCAGTCTAACTTTTACCAAAGGAATAAATATTGGAAAAGTGAGACTAAGATCAACATGATCAAAAGTGAGCTCGTCTAAGTGTTATGGCCCCCAGGTCAGTACATTAGATCCTTCTCAGCAAGCTCAGTTCTCATGCTGTTTTACACTGTTTACATTAAGACTTGTAAAAAAAAAAAACATTAAATTTATTTTGAAAATTCATTATTTTAGATTTTGTCAATTGCATGTATAGTGTGCACATTATAAGAGTTCCAATTGCTGGTGTGTAAAATTAACACGATAAAAAAAAATATTTAATAAAAATGAAATTTACAATTTAATTGTTGTCTGGTTTAACATGTTTAAGTCTGTAACCCATCATCAAGATAAATTAGAATGAAAAATTGCAATTTCTCAAATTAAGCATGTTATAGTCCATAAAATTTATAATTCCATTTGTATATTTTTCATTAATATTGATTTAAATTAAATTCTACACATGCATTGGTATGTGGCAGACACTTCTAAGTTCTTTAAATGAAAATTTTAAAAAGCAAACTTGGATTTTCTGGTTTACAGCACAAAGAAACCCTTGAGAGGTTATAACAAGGAGAATGGTGGACGTATAACTAACAAGAGACTTCTTCAGAAGAAGCTGGGATCCGAAGGGGTGAGTACAGCATTTGGCCACAGTTTTCAGTACCAACAAAGATGATGATTTTCTTTTTTTTTCTTTTACGATTCAGTATTTTAAAAATGACAAGTAATTTACCATTATCAAAAAAAAAAATTCCGAATTAGACTATGTGTATATTAACAACATTTTAAGTATGGTAGATCTGTAGGTTGGCATCTTTTACACTAATCCCTTTTAACAGATGCTTTCAATAAGTAATGAGTAATTTTCAGAGGTCTGATTTAAAACATCTTCTAACTACAGGATAGCTGCTCCAGTACAGGAAGTGACAGCCTATTCCAGTCACGTCGACCAAGGAGAGCCCTGAAAGACAGGAACTACAAGGAGGAGCCTGGGGAGAACAAACCCAAATATGTAGGCAAACGGAAGCGGGCTCCGAAAACGGAAGAACTTAGGACCAATCCAAAGTCGGACTCCCTGTCTTCTGTGACAAACTTCAGTGAGTTTGATGACTATAGTCTTGTGATATCAGGGTCTCCCGCTCAGAATAACAGTCAACTCAAGAATGGTGGAATATTTTCCCCGCATTTTTTACGAAGTAAAAGTAAAATCGAAACTAGTACCCCATGTGCCAAACGGACATGTTCGGCAAACGACATCAATAATTTGTCAGTAATTGACCATGTGGATGAAGATGTGCCATTGTCACCTTCTGTTCATATAGATCAAAGCTCGTATGCTCAAGAAAGTGTTTCAAAAGTGCCATCATGTAATAATATATCAGATTCCAGCAATGTCAGCAAATCTTTGTTGAAGAATTCCAAGAATGAAAGTCCCGTTAACCCGTGTGTGGTACAACTGGAGAAATTAAGACAGAGTTTCCTCTCTATGCATGTGTCTCATCGGACCTCCAAACAGTCTAATTTTAACCACTCAGATAGTCTGTTTAGCAGTTTTGACGAGAAAAATTCCTTAAAGTGTGTGACTGCGGAATCTAATTTAGAGGGTTCAGATTCTGAAGAAAACGATGAAAGTGACAATGATTCGGAAGAGGATACTGAAGAAAATTCTGATGAAGATTTAAGTAAGATAAGCGAAGAAGATAATGATGAAGAAGTTACGGAAGACAGCGAAGAAGAGGAGCCAGAGGAAGAAGGGGAAGATGAAGGGAACGTAACAAAGTTCATGCTGGCCAGCTCTGAAGAGGACAACTTCTATACTGCTCACTCATCTCTATCTTCCAGTGGAGGTCCTGATCAGCCAATCAGTGAAGAGGATTCTGATATTCCAACCAATGAGAAGTGTCCTAACATGTCAATTGATGGGGGCGGTCCTGAGGTGTCAATCAACAGAAGTCTGCTAAACAGATCCCACTTTGTGAGTTTTAAGCAGAAATACAATCAGTGTGTTTAGTTTGATTTGAACATCATGAACACTGATTTGTTTCTGTTTTTGATTTGTATTAATATTTTTTTTTTGAAAGTAGAAAAAATCAAATTGTATGGACAAGTTGGTAGAAAGATATGGATTATACAATTGTTTTAATTAGGCAAGTCTGTGAAAAAAAAATCAGTTTTCAGAACTGATAGGTTATTAGCTCTACTGGTCAGAGACCAGAAGAGCTTATGCGATAGTAATGCGTCCGGCGTCCGTCCGTCTATCCGTCTGTCTGTCTGTCTGTCCGTCTGTCTGTAAACAATTTTTCAAAATGCTACTCCTCCTACAGTTTTGGTCTAATTTCAATATAACGTGGCACACAAGTAGACTACACTAAGATACATAATTCTGTGTATCGGTTTTTGATTTCGATGAACGGTGTTGCCGTGGTTACTAAAAATAGAAATTTCTGTGAAATTCTTTCAAAACGCTACTCCTCCTACAGTTTTGGTCTGATTTCAGTATAACTTGGCACACAAGTAGACTACACTAAGATACATAATTCTGTGTATCGGTTTTTGATTTTGATGAACGGTGTTGCCGTGGTTACTAAAAATAGAAATTTCTGTGAAATTCTTTCAAAATGCTACTCCTCCTACAGTTTTGGTCTGATTTCATTATAACTTGGCACACAAGTAGAATACACTAAGATACATAATTCTGTATATCGGTTTTTGATTTCGATGAACGGTGTTGCCGTGGTTACTAAAAATAGAAATTTCTGTGAAATTCTTTCAAAATGCTACTCCTCCTACAGTTTTGGTCTGATTTCAGTATTACTTGGCAAACAAGTAGAATACACTAAGATACATAATTCTGTATATCGGTTTTTGATTTTGATGAACGGTGTTGCCGTGGTTACTAAAAATAGAAATGTCTGTAAAATTGTTTCAAAATGCTACTCCTCCTACAGTTTTGGTTTGATTTCATTATAACTTGGCACACAAGTAGACTACACTAAGAACATAAAGAGACTTTATCAACGATCATTATTCTATTTAGTTTCAAATCCCAGCTGCTTAAGTACTTTTCTCTTCCTTTGCTATAAGTTCAAACCAGTAGAGCTTCAGTCTCGACAGAGACTTCTGGTTCATCTTTTAAAATACATTCGTGTCAAATTTAACATATTTTGAAGATATTGCATGTTTATTTAAGTCAAATTTACTATATTTCCAGGATATCTTGACCCCACAGAGGAAAAAGAGTCTAACTCCAGCCTCTCCTCGCTCCAAAGTTTTGGAAGTGTGCCAACAGAAGGACATAGAAACATTTCAATCCTGCATAAGTACCACGTGAGTAGGAGTAAATATAATTTTTTTTTTCTCGTTCTCACTCCAAAACATTTTGTGATAAGTAATTGTTCTGTGATAAAAGCATTTTTGTATCTATACAGGTATTTCTGGTCTTGAAAAAAAAAATATACGTATATATACTTTTTCACATTATTCATCTACCAATTTTATGTTTCATATCTTCTTTTGTCTAAAACAAGAAAATTTTTATTTTAGTATGATGAAACAGTGCAAAAAGGTCGGGGAAGGTGTTTATGGAGAGGTTTTCCGGACGAAAAGGGGAAATAACTCTGTAGCCCTAAAGGTTAGCCTAGCATGTTCAGAACAAACCAATTATACAGAAACATGTATATATGGTACCAACCAGACCTAACCTGACAACCAAGCAGTCCTGGGGACTGCTTTTGAACCACTGCAAGACTGCCCTAGCAGTCCCAGAGAGCAGTCCCCAGAAATTTGCTGTAAACTGTTCCTTAAAAAGTGTACTGATTAATATGATATTGAATTATCATCATTGAATCTATAATACACAATACATGTATTAATATTATCTAAGTAAGGCAAAAAGTTTGTGGTCAGTTATGAAATGTGATATTGTTTTGTACAGGTGATTCCAGTGGAGGGGGATTTTGAGGTCAACGATGAGAAACAGAAATCATTTGCCGAGATTTTACCAGAAATTGTTATTTCTGTGTATGTATTAACTCTTTTATATTTAATTATTGTCTATTTTTATTTTTTTTATAAATTCCCAAGCAATTATTATCTTGAAATGTTTTATCGCAAATCTCGCCTGTAAGTATTACACTGCGGCCGAAATAGCGTTGCCTTGAGTGTTGATACTATTGGATTTGACAATTGAACAATTTGAATCACGGGTTGCATTCTATAAAACAAGCGTTTTAATTGGTTGATTATGACCCGCCCACTCTCGTGCAGTATCCTTTGCCGATTTAAGTTGGAAAGCGTCCAACGGTTTTGTGATTGTTGAAAATCGATGGTGACTTTTTGAACAAAATAAAAACACAAACAAACAAACTATAAAATCACTTTTTAGCATGTGATATTTTCCTTTCACAGATGGTACATGTTTATAGCGTACGATGACACACCTATTTTCATTTTATTGTGATTTTCTATACACATCATTTTCGATGTTGCACCGCGTACTTACGTAGAAAGAATATACCGGAGCACCTGATGAAAAAATATATATATTCATTTGTGGTAAAAGATCGGATTAATTCAAAAGTTAATTGTTTTGTTCTCATGACTGTCAAAAATACCATGTTTCAAATGTGTGTGTGCTACTGTTAAAACATGCGATCAGAAAAAAAGTCGAAATCCTTGTGGGTTTTTTTTTTCATGCAGTGCATTTTTTACTGTAATGGCAAATATTATTCATATGTTCACTATAAGATCATTATACAGGTTACCCACACTCAAACTAATTTAATAAGATATTACATAGGTCCACTATATACTTCGCTTAGTAGGTAGAGGCCTACCACTTGTTTACAGCTGTTTCCATGAGAAAGTGGGTGGGCCTATAGAAAAGCACCAATCAGATTCTTTGTTGGATTTTGCAATTGTATTTCAGTCAGATTCATCAGTGTCGTCACTCAACGCATCAGTATATCGGTCCAAGTGTATACTTTGAAGCAAGATTTGCGATAAAATTTGCAGAAATGATGTGTCATGATGTATATACTGGTATACATATTATCATTTGGTTATACTTGTATTTTAAAATGTTTGACTATTTATTTTTTTAGGTCACCTGAGTAAACTCAGGTGACCTATTGCTATCTGTTTTCGTCCGTCGTCGTGCGGTGTGCGTCGTGCGTTGTCCGTTAACATTTGAACATTTTCAGCTTCTTCTCTGCAACCACTGAACCAATTTCAACCAAATTTGGCACAAAGCATCTATGTGTGAAGGGGAACAAAAATTGTGAATTTCATGGTCCCTGCCCCCCTGGGGCCTGAGGGGTGGGGCAAAAACCACTAAAATGAATGCAATCTTTAAAAATCTTCTTCTTTACTCCTGGACATCAAGCAGTCAAACAGTTTGCATGATTGTAATCAGCATTGAGTCCTCTACCAAATTTGTGAAATTCATGGCCCCAGGGTCAGGGGTTCTAGTGCTAGGGCGGGGCTAAATAAGTATATATAGTGAAAATGCATTATTTCTTTGAAAATCTTTTTCTCTGCTCCTGGGTATTAAATAAACTAACTAAGTGCATAGTTATGATGAGCAAGAATACTTCTACCAAAATTATGAATTTTATGGCCCCAGGGTCAGGGGTTCTGGTGTTAGGGCGGGGCTCTAGAGATTATATAGTCAAATTACATGAATTCTTTGAAAATCTTCTTCTCTGCTCCTTAGTGTTAAATAAACTAACTAAGTGCATAGTTAAGATGAGCAAAAGTGCCTCTACCAAAATTATGAATTTTATTGCCCCAGGGTCAGGGGTTCTGGTGTTAGGGCGGGGCTCTAATGATTATATTGTGAAAATACATGAATTCTTTGAAAATCTTCTTCTCTGCTCCTGGGTATTAAATAAACTAACTAAGTACATAGTTATGATGTGCAAGAGTGCCTCTACCAAAATTGTGAATTTGATAGCCCCAGGTTCAGTGTTCTGGTGTTAGGGCGGGGCTCTTTTGATTATATAATAAAAAGACGTGAATTCTTTGAAAAATTTCTTTTCTGCTCCTAGGAATTAAATAAACTAAGTACATGGTTATGATGAGCAAGAATACCTCTTCCAAAATTTTGATTTTATGGCCCTAGGGTCAGGGGTTCTAGTGATAGGGTGGGGCTCTATTGATTATATAGTGAAAATACATTAAATCTTTGAAAATTTTCTTCTCTGCTCTTGGGTATTAAGCAGATGAACTACCTATGTAGTTATGATGAGCAAGGACCCTAATCTTCCAGAATTGTGAATTTCAAGGCCCCAGGGTCAGGGGTACCATAGGGGGTGTACTTATATACTGAAACTGAATGAAATGTGTAAGATCTGCTCCTTGGTATTAATCAAATATTTTTTGAAAAGCAAGGGTGCCATTTCAAAAATTGTGCAATGTGTGGATCTAGGCCTAAGGGTCAGGGGTTCATGTGTGATAGGGGCATTACTGATTATTGCTGAATATTACTGATTACTTGAAATGCATTTTTCGTTCCCCCACCCTGCCTGTGGGTATTAAGTAAACAAACTAAGCAACTGCTAAGTGATTGTTATGATGGTCAATGGTGCCTCTTTCAAAATGTGAACGCCATAGCATCTGGCTTAAAACATGAATCAAATTAAATCCCTGGAAAGTTGTTGCATAATGCTCAGGTGACCTATAAGGCCCATGGGCTTCTTGTTTTTTCAGAGAATTGAGTTTGCTCAGAGAGAATGATATTTGCTACACACAGAACTTTTGTGAAGTCCAAAGGTAATTTGCATGTTTTACTTATTATATTACATGTATATGTCTTTGAAGCTTTGTTGTATATTAGGTAACGTTTGGTTTTTTTCCAAAATGAACACAAATTTACAAATCGATCATTGTTAATGAACAAGTTTGTTCAGTCTATGTTTCTGAAAAAAAATTAAGTAAATCAACGTTATAAAGGACAATGTAAGGACAATACAACTTTTCCATTTCTCTGCTTATAAATAAAAATAGCTCTTTAAGTAGAAAAATGAGTTTTACAACTCCTTTTTCAGGGTTTCATGTATAAAAGGAAGATATCCATCTAAGCTTTTAAGTGAATGGAATACATTTCATGAAGAGAAGGGTTCAGAAAATGATAATCCAGGTAAAATAATCAGGCTAAATAAAATTGAAATTACTGTAAACCAACTTTTATTCACGTCATCTTTTATTCACAATTCTTCAAAAATGAAATCAATCCTCGACAATTAATTTTCGCGACTGGGGAAATGTTCTCTACAAATACTTTAGGAAAATGAATGGTTCACGGCAATTTATATTCACGAGTTAGAGTAGGTTGCGGAACTTGCGGATATTTCTCGCATATGAATAAATTTTGGTTTACAGTATGGTTCTCGAGCCTCTGTTCTGAGGTAGCAGCATTGCAATTTTTATGTTTTTTCAATAGAATAAAAAGTTGTTAATGTGAAGATTAATCAAAGGAAAATAATAACAAAGTTGATCACATACATGTATCTGCTAATTTTTTTCTTTTTGCCTGTCAGTTCATGGCATTAAAATGTTTAATTTAATTTGATATAGAGACTTACGTAGCATTCTGGTGTTTGCTCTGTTTTCAAGTATGATACACATGTACATCAAATGTGCATTGTAAGTCAGGGACTTCTTTAAGGCAGAAACCGGCAGAGAGCTTAAAGTTCTAATACCTTTTAGTTCAAAGAATTCGTAACTTAATAATTACACTGATATTGCAGCTTAACTTCTAGACCAATATTCTGTCCGAATATTTTTTTCAAAATCTTGTTTGGTCTGAATTTATCCAACAGGGCAATTAATACTAATTAAGAAAAATATTGTGTAGACCTTAATATTGCATGATAAGTAAGACAAATACTTGCTTAGTTTTAACATAGTACAAAGCTAAAAACTACCCGAGAAATATGTAAATTGAGCTTGGCTATGTAGACAATTATTTTTTGAGAAAAATTTGCCACTGATGAATGCAAAAGCAGTGAAGTTGGTGCAGGTTTTCTCAACGTGGATAGTGATAGAAAAATTACACTGGCTCTGCTCATGAGGTATTATAACACATACTCTTAGGGATATTAAATTTCAGTGGAGCCTCATTTAACCGGACGCTTTGGTTCCTAGTCAATTTGTCCGGATATGTGAAGCGTCTGGATACCTGAATCACCAGTTAAACAGGACAAAATAACATTTAAAAATTCTGTCCTGACGAAAAATCATCCGGGTACTGAAGCATCCGGATATATGGGGTCCCTATTATATCTGAAGGTCCACTGTACTTTCAAAATGTTGTTATGGATGTATGTTTCTTATTTACAGATATGTTTAAGGAGGATCAGTTATTTATTATGTTTGAGTTTGCTGATGGAGGGAAGGACCTAGAGGCTGCTCAGGTACATAGAATTATTTTTAAAACTTTTTTAATAAAACTAAATGAAACTTTTAAACCCCTGCATATAGACTTTTGATACCGAATACACGTAATTTTCATCCCAGTTTTATTTTGCCCTTTTTGCTCTGTTCTAAGTTGGGGCAAATTCAGAGAACATAACATAAATTCTTAAACAGAAATTTGACTGGGCAAATTTAAAATGGGGCAGAATTGTTCACAAGTGCAAAAGAGCAAGGGAAAAAAATCATGGGGCGAAAATAGTTGTGTATACAGTATTTGTATAGAATGTGTGTGATGTCATGGATTATATGATTTTCTTCTTTAGTTCAACAATATCTTTGAGGCCAAGAGTGTGTTTGAACAGGTGACATTTTCCCTGGCAGTTGCCGAGGAAGCTCTTCAGTTCGAACACAGAGATCTTCACTGGGGAAATGTATTGGTCAAGAAGACAGGGGTCAAAGTTCATGAGTATGTTGTGCTGGGACAGACATTCCAAGTGGAATCCCACGGCGTCCATGTCAGCATCATAGATTTTACCTTGTCTAGGCTGGATAAAGGTGAGGGGATATAGATTTTACCTTGTCTAGGTTAGATAAAGGCAGGTCTGTTTACTCTTAAGATTTTGCCGTATTTTGTATGGATTTTTAGTCCAAAATATGTCTCCTGTTTTGCTAAAATGAAAATACAAAAATCAAAAATACCTTTGTTTGGAATTGTGTAGTTAGTTTTCGTTATGATCTGTCTCGGTTTCATGCTTTTTTTATCGCTAAGAAGGATTTCAAACACTGAAGTTATGTCGGTTTGCCAAAACGTTGTGGTATAAAGTGACCAAGACCATGTTATTAAACCATGTTTTAGTAATCAGAAATTTTGTTCTTCATCAATATATGTAAAGTCGATGGAAAATGAAATCTTACTGACAAATGCTAAATCTCACGGACAAATCTAGTCAAAAATACTGAGAGACAACGATATGGGTAAACAGGTCTGTAAAGGTGAGAGGATTTTACAGATGTCAAGTTTCTGTAAATGTATTAAGACTTAGAGGTATTCATATTTAAGCACCCCTTTCTCTGCTTCTTGTATTCAGTGGTTTTCATTCATTATACCCCTGTTCCGAAAGAGAGGGAGTATACTGTTTTATCCTTGTGTGTTTGTCTGTCTGTCTAGTTTTATGTATGTCTATGTGATGTGGTGTAAAGGAAATAATTTTGCATAAAAATTCTATCTCTATGTGTCTTTGTTGTTATGGGTCTTTCAGATTAAAACATATGGTTAAAATGAGATGTGCTTTTAAAAATAAGGAGGCTTAAATGCATTGAAAGGTTATAAATATTTAATTTTTAAGAATTGAAAAAAGAGTAGAAGGAAAAACTGTTTTTGCAAACCAAACAAACATTCATCTTGTACCCATTTTATTTGTACATGGATTTTTTTTATTTATATTTAGATGGGTGCACAATCTTCACCGATCTCTCAACAGATGAGAGCTTATTTGAAGGCACAGGAGATTATCAATTTGATATTTACAGGAAAATGAGAGAGCTTAACAAGTAAGTGATATAGTCTGAAGTTAAAGAAAATCAAGTTCTTAGGGTTTGAGTCTGGGTGTCAGATTTTTTCAATTTATTTTTCCCTACTTATACAATGTTTTAATTGTTCCCCGCTTGAAAAGTGGGGGATATTAATTTTGGTCCGTCCGTCCGTCCATCCGTCTGTCTGTCTTTCTGTCTGTCTGTAACGCTTTCGTTTCCACACGATATCTCGAGAACCCTTTGAGCTTTCGCAATGAAATTTTGCATAGGAATTCCATAGGGACTAAAGAAGAACCCTATTGATTTTGAGGTCAAAAGGTCAAGGTTATAAATTCGCAAATTCTGTCTGTTATAACACTTTTGTTTCCATGTGATATCTTGAGAACCCTTAGAGTTTTTGCAATGAAATTTTAAATAACAACTCCCTGTGGCCTAAGGAAGACCCTTATTGATTTTGAGGTCAAAGTTCAAGGTCTTAAATTTAAACATTCTGTCTTTGTGTAACACTATCGTTTCCTGGCGATATTTCAAGAAGATTTTGAGTTTTTAGAATGTAATTTTATACCAAAACTCCCGTGGACCTCTCTCACTCCTCTCAAAGTGTCTTGCCCCGTTTGTTTTTTGGGAGTTGAACTATGTTCAGACTCCCTAGGCTGTCACGCGGTTTCTAGCGCAGTAATTTTACAATGAATTATATAGCGGTCGTCGTGGTGTTTCTGTGTCGCCCAATTTACTCCCCTGTGATACCGGTATTCAATACAAACTCGTATCAGTCTATATAAACTCGAAGAAACTTCCGCAATAAAAATAGTCCATCTCATTTTTCTGAATTAATCTAATTTTCATAAATGATTTGAAAGTAAATGAAATAGAATTTTATTAAACTTAATTTGAATAGCATATTTTGTCATCTTTTTTGAGAAATGACACATAACTTTTGATTTCTGTATGAAAAAAAAGTCCCAGTTTTCCGACATTTATCATTCGGCAATCCTCGGCTGACTCCACTACGCTCCATTACAAAAAGTGCGAGGTCATCCAAGGAGCAACAACTGGTCTAACTGGTTTGACAATGACGCGATTGTCTAAATATAGAGATGTAAACAAAGATGTAAGGAAAGGAACGCCAAGGTTTAACCAAACTTCTTTCAATTTGTTTCAGCAATAAAGAGACAGAACAACGTTTCTTTTTTAAAAAAAACACTGCGGAAAATATTTATTTGCTCTGACAAGTAAAATGATCTGTTAGACTGGAAAATTTTTGTCAGACCAGATACATGCAACTCATTTTTTTTACGTTGGTAAAGGGAAAAATAATAGCATTAAAGTTTGTTGATATTCGATCACACAATTTCAAATGACATTAATTTTGCATCCTTAATTTCATGATTTTATCAGCATTCAGTTGGTCACATGTACAACACCAAATCTGAACTTGAAAAATGTGTGTGTACTTGTATTGCAGTATCACCTTATACAATGTATCATTTGATTTTATTATATAATTAAAACAGTTAAGATTAATGAATACATGCGTATGCACAGACACAATGGTATGATAATCCCAATGATCGATATGTGAGGAAGATCGTTCCTCATGATTACAACTATTTTTTTTCTTGTAGTAGTTTGTTAAACTATGTCTGATTTTTAATTACATTTGAATGAAATCAAAATCACAAACTTTAAGCCTCACTCGCGTGGCACAGTTGTTAAAATAGTTTGCTCTAGAGATTCAACGTAATGTGTTAATTGATCCTTACGTCGCAGGTTCGAATCCTGTGCGATGCATTTGGAGAAAACTCTTTTGATGAGATAATATAAACCGAAATCCCATGTCCCAGTATGTGCTTGCACAAAACGATCCCTCACTACTCAATGGTTTTGAGAGCCGTGTATAGGTAAAAAATTGTAGACTAACATGTAGCTAAGTGTTTCAATATGATTGAAAAATTATCGAACGTAAAACAAAAAATATGTAAAGTATTCAGACATACTTACTTCTATATAGATATTACTTGAAATGAAATTTAAAATTATGGAATAACAAAACTTGATGATTAAGTTATAAAGATAGATACATTTGATAAAATAGATAAGCATGGAGTTCTATAAAAATTAATTATTGTGTCCGAAAAGAAACATTCATACCCAAAAGAGAATAGCAAATACTTGTTTTAATCAGAGAAAGAAAAATGACAATCTAGTGTCTGGTGATGGTAACATCGAATATAAAGAGTGTTTGTTTGTTTGTTTCTTGGGACAAATATCTTGTACACATTCTAAAGAGAGTAGGGGGCGTTTTGATTCAAATGTTTCAGAAATATAAGAGTTTTAGTAATAAATGGTACTGAAAGAAGTTTAAAACCTAACAACAAAAATAGTATTTTCGAGTTTGAAAAAAATTTTTTTGGTGATGGGGTTAACCTGTTTGTTTGGTTTGGTCAAATTGTTGAGGTAAGAATTAGAAAGAATATCCAGAACTAAACTTAACTGTTCGTGCGCAATAAATATACAGTTTTTTTTAATGGATAGCACTGTAGCTCTCCGGTCTGTCAATTTTTTTTCCGAGAGCTACAATTTTGCAGCTAATTTAAGAGCAGTCCCATGATCTTGGCTATTTAAATGTAATAGAAATCATTTTTAATGTTTCGTTTTGTATCTCTATCTAACAAATCAGTTCTAGCTGAATTGAATCTGAATGCATGAAGATGTTCCTATACTTCCTGTGAGATCTTTCAGATAACAATGTTCAACTCCCATGAGTACTTTCAGTACTTTGATTTTAGTATTTATTAGGGATAGGTATCGACAGGGAATTCATATTGCGATATATCAGGATTTTTTTCCAAAATATCACAATAATATCATGATACCTTTACAATCAAATTTTACAATGTTTTTTAATGAATTGTCATAATTTTTCATAAAAATTTGCTAGAAAAACAAAGTTTCACTTTTTAAAAATCTTTATATACATAAAATTAGTCATGTTTGAATGGTAAGATGCTGTTCTTTCACCTTTTACAACATTTTTTACACTTTCCATCATTGTAATTTGAAAGATTGAACAAATAAAAGAATAATTTCTGGACTTTGTAATATGTACCTAAAGACCGGTATTTAGTTCTCCATATCACGATACGTATCACAAAACAAAAAATCGCAATATACCGATATACCGGTAAAATCATACATTATTAGCTCTACTGGTCAGAGACCAGAAGAGCTTATGCGATAGTAATGCGTTCGTCGTCCGTCCGTCTGTCTGTCTGTCTGTCTGTCCGTCTGTCTGTCTGTAAACAATTTTTCAAAATGCTACTCCTCCTACAGTTTTGATCTGATTTCAATATAACTTGGCACACAAGTAGACTACACTAAGATACATAATTCTGTGTATCGGTTTTTGATTTCGATGAACGGTGTTGCCGTGGTTACTAAAAATAGAAATTTCTGTGAAATTCTTTCAAAATGCTACTCCTCCTACAGTTTTAGTCTGATTTCAATATAACTTGGCACACAAGTAGACTACACTAAGATACATAATTCTGTGTATCGGTTTTTGATTTCGAAGAACGGTGTTGCCGTGGTTACTAAAAATAGAAATTTCTGTGAAATTCTTTCAAAATGCTATTCCTCCTACAGATTTAGTCTGATTTCAATATAACTTGGCACACAAGTAGACTACACTAAGATACACAATTCTGTTTATCGGTTTTTGATTTCGATGAACGGTGTTGCCGTGGTTACTAAAAATAGAAATTTCTGTGAAATTCTTTCAAAATGCTACTCCTCCTACAGTTTTAGTCTGATTTCAATATAACTTGGCACACAAGTAGACTACACTAAGATACATAATTTCTTCTCCCAATGGGGTGCCTCAGTCTCAAATGAGATGATAAGCTTACCACGTGATTCATAGATAAAGCAAACGTGATTCGTACGGCAGCAAAATTTTTACGCTCTTGGATTTTTTAGTTTTATTTGTGTTCTAGTTTAGTGTTATAGTTTTGTTTAGATAATATGTGTGAACTTTTAATTGGATTCTTTTCGTGATTACAAGGATTAACTATCTTTGGAACTTTCTTAATTGAACATTATATATATAAATTGTCTAGTGGCGACGCGCCCAAAGACATGAGCACAGACTCAGAAACAATGGCCGTCAATGGCAATGATCGTAATGCTAAAGATCTCAAAGGTGACGCACCTGAGACAGCTGTGGAATCACTAGTTGCCACAATGCAAAAACAATTATTAGAAAATCAAAAATCAATGTTGTGTCTTACACAAACTGTACAAAAGATGCAAGAACGCATGAATGGCGAACAAACAAATAAGGGGGAGAAGCGCAAGGCGCTGGATAATCCCCAGTCTGCATCAACAAGTAAAAAGCAGGCACCTGACTGTAGCAAGTCCGAGTCGGAGGCAGACAATACCAAAGACGAATTTGAGGAACTCCTGTCTGAAGTGACAGAAGAAAAAGAAAGCGATCCAGACGATCTCTTAGAAGAGCTAGCAGAATGTTTTGGTTCTGATGACAAATGCAGCGAACCAATTTATGAGAAATTGGCGAAAGTCGCAAATGAAGGCATGCGGACAAAATTAAACAATGACAAAATTAAGGAGATCGGTGAAAAGTATAGCAGACCGAAAAATGTCGCAAATCTGATAACACCGAAAGTGAACAGCGAAATCTGGGCACATCTTAACAGGAAAGTCAGAACACAGGATGTCCGACTTCAAAAAACCCAAGCACTGGTATGCAAAGCTATTGTGCCACAACTCCAACAGCTGGATATACTTCTTAAGTCAAAAAAGAAGGGGGGCGAAACAGCTCCGATTGGCGAGGTTACGAAACTAGCGATGGACAGCCTCAAATTAATGACTTTTGTATATTGCGACCTTTCATATCGGCGCAGAGAGCTGATCGTTCAGCCGGACAAAAACGAGGAGTTTAAGGCTTTGTGCTCCAATGATCATCCGGTGACTGACAACTTGTTTGGAGACGACCTCGG